TTTTTTTTTATTTAGGCATACAAGTTACCGAGTGGTCTGTCTAATGTATTATTAACATGGCAATTTCAACTTCAAATTATCTCGAAAAATAATCGTTACAAAAATTTTCTTTCAACAGAGTTGTGAAGGTATTCGAAAGACCTTTAAAACAAGGTGCCACTCGACCTACTTTCCCTATCTAAATAAAGGTCGTCGGACGTACCCCTCCGAGGGGGTGCGTACTACAAAAAATCTGATCAGTCTAGAAAAGTGTCCCCCTTTAATTAGAAATCGACGTGTCCAAGCTTTTTTTAAAAATCCCACTTTTTATATTCAAAAACGGCTCTGTTAAGTTTTAGTTGTTACACACTGTATACTATATTCCCACTCACCTGGACTATCAGGAAACAGCGTCTCGTACAACCCCTTGAATGTCAAATTGGTACCCGACCCTATGATGCACCCGCACCCCCCGATCCCCGCCGCGTAAGCCGTCGAGATGAAGTAGCACATCGTCGTCCTCGTAGGTCTCTTGTTCTCCTCCGCGCTCTCGTGTACGATCTCCTCATCGAGGTCGTCGCTCTCGTACTTCTGCCCGATGCCCTGCTCTTCGAGGGCGGCCAGCGTCGCCTCGATGATGGGGATCATCATCGCCGTCGCGGCGGTGTTCGATATCCACATCGAGACGAACATCGTGACCGAGCAGAGACCAATGTTGAGCTTCCTGGGGCTGCACCCCACCAGCCGAATGACGTGGAGCGCGACGCGCGTGTGCAGGTTACAGTGTTCGACGGAGATGGCTATGATGAGGCCGCCCACGAACATCATGTTCGTCTCCTTGAGGTAGCAGAGGGCGGTCTGGTCCGTGTCGAGGATGCCCATCAGGGGGAAGAGGACCATTGGTAGCAGGGAGGTTACTGCTAAGGGGAGAACTTCGAATACCCAGTACCCTGGAACGAAAAAGTCAACGGTAAAATCATCCATGTTGATTTATTCAAACAGTATTTTGAAATTATCATTCAGAGTTTTCACGAAGTGCCAAATTCTTGATAAGTCGACGTAATATTTTTGTGCAGAAAACGTTTTGGATTCCTACTCCTCCTTTGTTGAACATGGGAGAAATTTCCTTTCTTTGGAAGTTTCCCCCATCTTTTCCTCAATGATGGAGAAGTATTAACCCAAAAAGCTAATCTCTCTTGAAAATATTTCCTATTGAACTCAAGTAAACCTTGGTTGATAAAAAGTTGATTCTTTTTGGGAGACGTCGAGTTTTGACTTCTACAATGTATATTTTTGTTGCTTTGTAAAGTTTTCAGATCACGTCCCTAATCTGCGAACGCAACTCCTGAATGAGGAAATATTAAGAGCAGATAGTTGTTGGTTCACAGATGGATCCTACCGAACAACGTCTGAATTGGTAGCAAACTGCCAAAAAAGACTCTCCTCGATAGGAAGACTTAACAGATTGTCTCTGGCCTGGATTCCTGGCCAAAATGGCCTGGAAGGAATCCTGTATTATTGTATGGAACTAGATGGAGGTCATTTTGAACACTTTATCCGTTGATTGTGCTGCTCACTTTTGTTGATTTCCTCAATAAAATCAGCTACGGGGAATTTTCTGTTTTTTCTTAAATAAAACGTTCAACATTTAATTCCTCAATAACGAATGAACCAATTTCTAAAAAAATTACAAAATTGATGGAGGGACAAAAGACCTTCAAAATGATGTATCACACGACCCCCATGCCATTGAAAAAATAGGTGGGGCAGTTGTTGACCGCAGGGGGGTGAAGTTTCGGGTATGATTTCCATATCAGAGTTAGCCCTCCTGGAATAAAAATTGACGTGTTCTTTGAAATATCCGGTTACATGTCCGTTCCTGACTTACAGGGGTGGCAAAGTTTCGTATACAAAACTACCAGTCTTATGGGGTTATCTTGTTTATGCGTTTTAATTGGTTGACCTAGTCATTAAACTCAGGTATAAATGATCGTTAAACTCAGGTATAACTATCATTAATTAGTTCCTAGAATATTATTAGTTTCTAGGAAGACGGTAATATTTCAAAAAGTATATATAAATCACAATGTATGTAGAATTCAGTTTGTTAGTGAACACGCTTCAAAAAGCTACTGTGCAGCGAAACACGTGTTGCGAATTTGTTAATCTGTTCTAGTGAAAATCTCACAATAAAGTGTTTTTCAAAATACATCAACTTCAAAATAGTTTTTGAGGTAAGTAAACAACTAACAAATAGCTGAATAATGTGATTGAATTTTGTTATTTTTATAGTATCAAGATGGATGCCGTAGCAAGTCCAAGTAATGTACAAAGAAAGCGGAAGTTTATGTCGTTAGAAGAAAAACATATTGTCTGTAGAGTGTACGAAAATTTAAAAAATACACTCAATACAGTTCATGTCACACACAATCAAAAGCTTTGGAAAGGTCCAAAAAAGATGCTAGTGTCACATTTCCTTTCTCAAATTCATCTGTGATGTGAATAATCATATCTACAAGTGCAGTTTATAGTAGACTTTCCCTCACGAAATCCATGTTGTTAAGGGTTCAGTACATTTTTTCTCTCTAAATAGTTGATCAGTCTGATTTTATAAGCCAATTCAAGCAATTTTGATAGAATAGGAACTAGGGAGATGGATCGGTAATTACTGATATTATTTTTGTTACCCTTTTTAAAAATCGGTATAACTTTGGAGAGTTTAAGAATCTCTGGAAAAACACCTTCTGCAAAACAGGTATTGATGAAAAACGTTATGGGGCTGATTAATTCGTCTTTTGCAAATTTCAGTGAGTCGCTATTTAGCCCACATATATCTCTTGACTTTGATGTGCTTAATCTGTCAGTCAGGGTAATTATATCTAGTTCTGTTACCGGAGTTAAGTAAAATGAAAAGGCTACACTGTTATTCTGTATTGATTCGATATATGTATGGCCATTAGACTCTAATTTTTGGACAATTTCCTTGCCAATGTTACAAAAGTGATTACTGAAGTCATCCAGCAATATTTGGAGGTTAGGAGAAGTGATCATAGTAGGTTTTGTGAGTGACCATGCCATTCTTTGCTTATTCTTTGCATTCATGATTATGCGTGAGTTGTGTGATATTTTTTCAGTCTTAATTGCTAGTCTATACCGCTTCTTCATTTCCCTATATATTTTCCTCATAGAGGGGTCATTTTTAGTGACTTCATTCTACATTATCAACTGGTTTTTCAGTTCTACGATGTATTCACTATATTTTATTCTTGGTTTCTCAAATTTCTTTATTTCTCTGATGGGAAAAGCTGCTTCATAGCTATTAATAATGTTATTTGACAAGATGCTGCACATCACCTCAGTATTGTTAGTTTTAGCTTATGAGTGTCATTAAACAGCATCGTGACAGATATCGCCAGCATGTGGTGGATACAATAGCTCGTGCTGAAGGAATCACCATCTTGAAACTTCCTCCTCACCATTGCGAGTTAAACCCGATAGAATTAATCTGGGCTCAAATTAAGGGTTAAGTAGCTCGTGAAAACGTGACATAAAATTTCTGATGTCCAACGTTTATTAGAACTCGCAGTGGAACGGATACGGAAAGAAGATTGGGCTAATGATGTAGCCCATGTGATCAAGGAAGAGGAGAAAATGTGGAGATTGGACGGGATGGTAGACACTGTTTTCGACCAAATAATAATGGATTCAAGTGTGACTGGGAATTATTTTGTAAATTATTCAGTTTTTTTTAAGTACTGCATTAGGCATAATAAGAAAATGTAATCAGTTTCACCATTGACACCAGGTAGCGCCACCTACTATAACAATTTTTACGTAATTACCTATGTGTTTAAATAAATAAAAATATTATTTTGGTACGCCTCTGCAGAGCTGGTAAGAAGATTGCTAATGAGTCACCTTCAAATGAAAATTGTTATAGTTATAATCGACTCAAATCTTACTCACCTGCCATCAAGAGCACCACGAAGAGGCATCTGAAAGCCGCGGTGTTATTGGTGAGGAAGATCGGCATTAGCACCAGGGGGTAGATGAAGACGAACAACGTCCTCCAGTAGATCTTCACGGCCTGGAGCAACATGGCGACCGTGGATGTAATACTATCGAAGGCTTTCACTGAAACAAAATGAAACGATGTTAACTAGGGCGCTTTTAGGACGTACCTATCTTGGTAGACAAAAAAATCAGGTGATTCCATCATGATAACGGTGGGTACACAGCATTCGAGGTCCCAGAGAGTTTCGGTTTACATAGAGGCACAAAAAATATTGATCAACATAAGCTACCGTTCCAGAATTGAGTAAACTAGCAAAACTGATACGTTGTGTGTCCTAAATATCATTTTAAAAGACATACAAGCGTAAAAACCCACCTACGGAGATAAAGTTGAAATTATTCCATTACCATATGTCCAGCTAAGTGCTGAATTTGAATTGGTGATGTGATAGAGTCAGATGAGCTGTAATCAAATACGTGGGGGATCTTCTTGTATCTCAATCTTTAATAACGTCCTATGTAGGTTACAGAAAATTAAAGCCACAAATTAAGAAAGGACTGATGGAACGAATGCAGCAATAAAATAATTTAATTGAAAGTATCGATGTAAGCTTTAAAAGCAGTAATAAAATAGGAAACAACTAGAATCATGGCAGAGAATCCATCAAAACCAACCTACTCATCTATTAAAAACCTTTTGCCCCACATCAGAATAAAATTTTTGTTCATGTCTATTGTTTTTCTTTTTTAATGCCACAAATAACGTATAAATACTTTGGAAAACGTAATTAAACTATATTGACGGTTCTTCAAAATTATATATTTTTTCTGTAATCATGACATCTCTAAATAAAATTGAACATTATTGCAGAAGTAAAAAATAATAAAAACATTGAAGATGATCCACGCTCAAGACGTCCTTCAACTCCAAACATGGATAAAAACACTGAAAACACTGAGTTCCTGTATCATTTAGCAGAACTACGTTTTTGTGGAATAAACTTCCTAAGAACGTTTTTACAAATGATTTTAGCCTCCAGCGATTCAAATCCAACGCATAGGCACCGTTCTTAGAGCGCCTTAAAGATTTTTCTGTAGTGGTTGTGTTTTGTCCTGAAAATAAAAACTGCTACAGACACACTACATTGATTGTCAGTCATTTTTGGAAAATAATCGGATCCTTGTGTTGAAACATCCACCGTACCCACCAGATCTAGCTCCGTTTGACTTTTTCCTGTTCCAGAAACTGAAGGAAGCATTGAAAATAATCACATGTGATGCAGTGGAAAGTGTGAAGAAGAAATCGCCTGACACTATTGATATGCTTATAGAAAATCACTTGAACACTGTTTTGAGCAGTGTAAAATTTGAATGAAGAAGTGTAGTGGAGGGGAGTTTGGTTGATTTAAAATCATTTCATTATTGAATTTATGTTAATAATATTCTTATTTTATCATTTAGAAATGGTTGAACCGTTGAGAGACGAATGAATGAATAAATAAATCACCACCCTATTCAACTATCACAGGTTCTTTCCAGAATCGTCAGTTTTATGTGAATTCGACCAAATAACGTAAAGTGGATATTTAATTACATATTTTGTAATTCAACAAGGGAAGATTATTGAAAAATCAATTAGAAACAGCTTTTTTGTCTTTATCAGCACGTGAATAAAGTAGATTTTTGTGAATTGAAGAAAGTTTTTGGCTTTCTACTTTCAAGATGGAGTAGTAGAAAGCCAAAAACTTTCTTTCCCAAAATAGATTTTTGTATTATTGTAAACAATAATGAACGGGTATGACATGAAATATATTTAGAATATATCAAGAGAATTTTTGTAGCACGACCTTAAACACAAAATAATTTTTGTGAACGCGCTGTATTTGTGAAGGCTGACAAATTCATAACTCCAATAAATCTTGAGAGTGATTTACTACGAATATAGTACATTATCTGGTGATTATTATTCTCAGAAAAAATATTACACTAAATATGGGCAACTTATTAATTGTGTTTTTATTATTCTGTTACTTGTGAAGGTGTGTGGCCGTATCTAGGAATCGAGAAAGAAAGAGTGGCTGATAAAATTTGAAATTGTATCTGATCTCTCTCCATGTACTACCTTTAGGTAACTGCACAAATAGTTTACCAACCATGAATATCGATTAGGGGAATGGAGTAGATGTTATCGAATCTACGATAATTCCGAATAATTTTTTGTTATTGTTATATGAATACAGAATTCAATGAATGTTGATTGCAGAAACCCCAAATGCTATACCGTATTTGATATGAGAAACTACAAGAGATAAGTATTTATTTTTGGCAATAATTTCATTATACAGTGACCAAACATGTTCGTCAAGTATTAATTGATCATCAATACGAATTCCCAAAAATTTGGTACAGGGTTTATTTCCAACTTGAATTTCATCTAAGACGAGCTTATCGAATTTGAACTCGAAGGTTATCATGTTTCCTTTCTTTACATTGGAACAAAGATAATTTGAGTGACACCAAGTTTTCACATCATCAATTTCTTGGGCTGCGGTCGTTTCTGGTTGACCATGCCATGAAACGGTGGCAAAAATTGTGAATTTTCCTGAAATACGTGATTTCGTTGTCATTTAGGAAGAGCAAAAATAGGAAAGGACCAAGCACTGACCCCTGAGGACCTTCCGAACTGATATTGACCAATTCTGAACGTTCATTGGAAATCTTTATACTCAGTTTCATCCCCACTAGAGAGCTGTTTTTGGGTATCATGTGTATTGGTGATCCGAATTCAGTCTTTTCAAAAACTACACCTCACGATTTGATTTCCTCAAACTTTATTTGAAATATATATCACATGTTTCGCTAGCACGTATACGTTAAAGCTCTATAATTTCGATTATCTTCCTTATCAGTAGAAAAACTCGAATCGCTTTTGCGTAGACTTTCTTGACAAGTATTTTGTTTATAAATTCAGCTTTAAACCCATTGTCAACCGCAATTTGCTTGATGGTATTAAGTTCTTTATTGAAATCTCTATTGAAAGAGGAACATTGACTGATCTGTGAATCATGCTATTATAAGCTGCTGCTTTGTGTTGATATTGATGGTCTAATTGCCTCTTAGTAACTGTAAAACATAATAAAACGTCATCCACATATCTATGCCAATACAAGAAATTCTTAATCAAAGGATGTTTAAAGATCGACTTCACTAGATTATCCATGAAAATTTCTGTAAGTAAGGGGCTTAATGGAGGAATAAATATTGTTGGTGAATTGAAAATAATTTTGTTTGAGACATAACGAGCGAAGGTCAATTATTTCTCGTTTTATGACTGGGTTCACTTTATTTTTATCTAATAAGTCTATTACTAAAGTAATAGTACCATCAGGAGGTATGCTGGAAAATAGATTCTGTGCATCAAAGGATAGTAATTTTGCGATGTCTGGTAGAGGTATGTTCTCTATTTTATTAATTAAGTCATATGAATTCCATAGACTGAATTTTGGTTGGAAGTTACAATGATTCAAGAGGATACCGTCATTCTGACAAATCTGCATGGCAGAAATCCACTGCGATACAAAAAATCAAGAGCTTTCAAAGGAGGGAGGAAAAATCCAATACTTTTTTCATTTCAATGGAAATTTGATCATCAAAAATGAATTTTCGAATCCAGGGTATACAGGGTACACCCTGGTATTATTACAGGGGTAATAATTTAAAAATTACCAGAATTATTANAAAATTGTTATAAACAATTTTATTTTTTCAATACTTTGTTCTATAATAAAAGTAACTATGTGTTTTTTTTAATTTATTCTATTTTTTATGAAACTTTTAATATTGTGATACCTTGATACTTGTCTTCTTCATTCGCTCCTTCGCTAAATCGAGTACATGTGAACCAGACTATATATTTTAGAAAAATTATTGAAAAATAAACGCTGGAAATTCAAATCTAAAATACTCACTTTTAAATAACTAAACTAAATCACAGTTTCAAAAATATCACACGAAACGTTTGTTTTTTCTGTCCGTCACTATCTTGCACCACTTTTTTTCTAGTTCTGTTTTCGGTACGTCAAAAAAATTGTCCACCGCAGTTTGATTTCAGCGAGACCGGATTTTCGAATTTTCTTTTCGAATACCATGCGCATTTTAACTCGATTGGACGTGGCTGACCGTCTGCCAGGCTTTATATACGCTCGATCTGGCTTATCGGTGTTCCTACTTTGTGATTCAATAATAATTGTATCTGTTTATTGCGATTAATTCATTTATTGACGGCCGAGAGATTTGTGGGTCATCCTTGCAGAAGCTTTTTTACTGATGGTTCCGGTCTCATACGCATCTCGGAGGTCTTACAAAAAAGAGTACTGAGTTTTATTGTTAGCCAAAAATACAGGGAGCGGCTAAATTATGGAACGATTTCGCACTGTACTTACGACGGTGAAGATTCGTCCTGGAACTCTATCACCAATATTTATAATTTTAATTTAGAGGCGAAAATAGCGGTAAAAGCGAACAAAAAAATTATTTTAACCCATTAAATGTCATTATTAAAAAAGAAACAACGTCTAGACACATGAATAAACGAAAATCCATGAAATTTTTTTATCAGATATACTTAAGTTGATTAACTAATTTTCACAAGTTTTAAATTTATATAAAAACCCTGATAATTTTTAAACTGAAAACCTGAATTTTTGTTCACTTTTTGGAGTTCTTCTTGAAAGCCTACAAAAAAATTTCCATTGGAAAAATT